GGACATGCATGATGGCTGGGTAGACCCCCTGCTTCACTGTCATACAGCGCAATGAGCTGGATGACACTGTCAAATATTTTAAGCCATATTTTAAATAGGATGTAGAGCTCTTTGAACTGTTTCCTTTAGTGCATTCACTGTCATGCTGAAATTCCCTGATGCTGTTGTGCAAGGTCAGTATAACTTATAGTATGTTCAGTGATATGAATGTTTATAGTGAACTGGTATTTGTTCTCCTGACATCTGGCTTGTTTTTTGGAAAAATCATGAACTAGTTTTCTTCATATTTTCTGCTATTATTACTATTATATGCTGAGTGAGACATAGTGCTTGAAGTGGGCCAGTACTAGCACTTCTACATTTTACTCCTTGTCATACTGGGACCTTTTCTTGCATACCAGCAATGCTCACAGGTTGTTGATACTCTTTTTTCTTTTCTGCTCTCTGGAACGGTTCATCTGAGACGAACAGCACCTCACCGGGACAGTGGCTGAGAGCAGATGAGGGCAGCAGGGAGTAGTGACATGAAGCTACAGTCAGAACAGAGTGTTGAGAAGCTTTCTTCCAGCTAAAGCGTGGGAGTTGGGAGGTGGGGTTAGTGCCACTGAAAGAATCCTGAGCTCCCCCAACAAAGGCTGGGTCTCATATAATCAATAATTAGAATCAGTTTTATTACATCAGTTGAACTCATCAAACAAACTAAATATGAACTAAAACTATAAAACAATAAGAGCTTTTTCCTGTCCTTTAGGTTACTTCTCCCAGGACACAGGATTTGCTGTTTTAAGGTTTAGGCTGCATGTGTGATTACAGGCGTAGGAGTATCTGCAGTTCTCAGCCAAAACACTCGATTGGTTCATTTACTTTGAACAGAGGCAGCATCATGTCCCGAAAAACATCTAATATGATATTACACAGTGGATCGTACCATTTCCTGTCCCTAAAGAACTGACAGTGTGTGCAGACAGGGCAGCGGTCTGACTTCACCTGCTGTCAATAAAGCCTGACTTGGACATATGCAGGTTTGTTTTTTAAATGACCTACTTCTATGTGTTATTTTGAGTGCCTATGTGGAGCCAAATTATTATGTGGATTGATGTCAGGTCATAGAGTCAGAGTCCATATAAGAAGAAAAGAGCTCTAAGACTTACTGATACTCAGTGATGTGACAACATTTTCTAGCCAAATGAAACTCCATTATTTATACTGTAATACTAAAACAATATACATTGTGTCGAGGGCTAAAATCAGGCTTTAATATCAGTCTGGCAAATGTACTGGTTGCATCCTAGTTAGCTAGGAAATACTAGCTCTGTGTGTGTGTGTGTGTGTGTTACGCTTGCCAACCCTGAGACCTTGTGGAGGTCAGAGTCCTAAGCAGCAGAGGATGGAGGGAGAGATGAAAAAGAACATAGAGGATGATTAGGAAGGCTTTACCTCTGGAAAGAGAGAGAGGCAGAGATGCTAGAAAGCAGGAAAGGCTTTAGCAAAGAGTGTGAATGCTTGTGGGTGCTTTTCAAAGTTTGTTTATTGTTGAGTGTGTATGTGTGTGTACATGTATGTACTGTACATGTCTGAGGGGGCTTGTGTCGTGACTCACAGGCATCAGCTCCTTCGTGCACTGCCGTCAGTGTGACACTGTGATCTCCTACAGCACATGCACAAGCACACACATGCTCACTTCCACAGACATGTACTCTTTCACACATACACACAGTCAAACCTCCTGCTCCAGGTTATCAGGACGACACCGAAGCCCTCCTCCGAGACCAACACCTGTCAATCCATTCTCATCCAATCATCACTCAGATAGCCCTAGAGACCTGCCCCCACGCAGCTAGCTCCACACAGCTGCAAGTACTCTTGTGCAACACACCACATCCGTCTCACAATAACTGTCACACACACGCACGTGCGGGCAGAGTGAGGCGGTCACATCATCTGCCACACACAGACGATCAAACAAGCTTCTTCCACAGACTCGTGCATGCGCCTTTGCTCCCCCACTTGCTTCCACTGAGACATCCACCACTGTGGTGATGGTAACCGTGACTACGGGCATAAATTTGCGTCACAGTGATATGCAAAGTGAGGGAGCAACAATTAAAGCTTGACTAACGAGCTTTTGAGGAGCAAGGCTGAAGTTTCCCTGAGCAGCTACTAACTGGATTAGCCTAGACACAGAAACATGGAGAGAGAGAGAGAGAGAGGGGAGGAGGGTACGGGGCAGAGAGACAGTGATGGCTATGCTCCACCTGTGAGACGACAACACACACACACAAGCATACAGTCAAAGGATATAGTAGACATAGCTAATGCAGACAAAGAAAACAGAAACACACCTGGTATCACTTTACCCAAACACATAACAAGTGTGTCACATCAGCACATATTCCTTCACAATATACATCCATACACTTACAAATGTATTTATCTCGCTGAGCTTTGGCAGTCATCGACAGACAGGGGTTAACATGAAAAGTCTAACTGAGGCTCCAGCTGTGAATTGAACAAGTATGATAAAATTAACTATATGTGAAGCACGACGTGATGACAGGCGTTCTCTAAACACAGGGCACATTCAAATGGTCCAAAGAAACAACAGGCTAATAAGAAAAGGTACCGGACCATGAGTTAGCAATGATGAAAGTGTTGCTAATTGCTTACTCAGGCAGTATGTTGTCTTTGATGCAGAAATGATGCTGAATGGGCCTAAAAGAAATAATATCACAGGAAATCACAGATAAATAAGCTGTTTCCATGAACGGCCTGTCTGTTTAATACCTCAGTCAGACAAAGGGACTAAAGATCCATTTGTGGGGAAAGGGAAGAGAGCCACTATTTTATTTCTTTTGCTTCATTTCAGCTTATAACTGCAGTACCACATTGTCACATTTGGCATATGCTGGCATGATTTTCAAGATTTCTCACCTTGACATACTGATGATTTTTGTTTCTTTTTTGCCCATGTGCCTACAATCTGGACACAGATGGTTTGAAAACTCTAATATTAAGTTGAGCTAATTGCCAAGATTTCCTTTACTGCTGACAAATATTGCCAATTGGCATTCAATGTAATATGACCCACCTCTGTAACAGCGCTTGCAATTAATTCTTTTCAATTAAAAGAGTACTCCAGAGATTTTGTATTGCACTTCAGTGAAGCTGGGGTGCGAGAGACAGATTTTTAAAAATATACCACTAATATTAAAAGAGTAGAAGAGTTAGGAGGCACCCTGCTCTACCTCCTGAGCTGCAGCCAACCACGTAGTACTGTATATGCCCTGGAAACTGATACCGACATGTAAAATCAGTGAACTTCCTGTTAAAGTGTTACGTTATGACCATCTGCACCCACTTCCCGTGATGATCATACAATATAATACTTTAAAAACAGCACAGTGTATTTTCATTTTATAATTTGCTGTTGTGACCTGTGTGACTTTTAACTAAAAACAAACTTACTTACTAACTACAGAGTTGTTATTACTGACTATTTTGCATTGCTTACTTATTTCATTTAACAGGCCTTTGACTTTCTTTTTAAAAGTGCTCTGCCCTCACGCTACAGTAAATGTCTTTTTCTGTCCTTTTGCTTCTCTGTACATCTCCTCTCTCTTCCTGGTTTCCAATTCTCATCTGCTTGCTCAAATAAATCTCTCCATCCCCTCTAACACCCCACCCTCCCCCAAATCTATGAAACACACACACAAACACACATGCGCATAGGCTCACACTCACTCACTCGTGCACACAAGCACGCAGCCCTCCAGGCAGCAGCCACAAAGGCCCCATATTAATAAATCTGCTCCTTTATTGGTGCTGAGTGTCTCTAGCGAGAAAGAGACATGGCGGAGGAGAGAGGGAAGAGATGAGGAGGAAGGAGGAGGAGCAGGACAAGAGACGCAGAGATCACCAGAGGGGAGGAGGAGGAGGTGACTCACTGACTGTAGCCATATCATAAACGCAAGAAGGTAGAGCGAGAGCAACAGAGAGATAAAGAGAAAAGGAGAAAGCATTGACAAGTGCATCATCAACAAGCGCACACACATTTCTGACTGATGATAACAGTGCTCCTGAGATGATGGGCAACACAATGAGAAGAAGCATACAAGTGTGAGGTTTCACTTGTGTAGGCATTTATTTGCACACTTACTCCTGTACGAACAATTATGAAGGAGACCTACTGTAACACCTGGCTGAACCACTGGAGCATTCAGAGTGGCCTGTGCTGCTTGCTAGGCTTGGGAAACAAACTGCCCGAGGTGGGCTTTCGGTAATGACTGCAGCTAGCCTGGCTTAGCGGTCCAATCTCTGCCATCAGTCAGCTGTGACAGATTGGGGATATGAGCTAAGGAGCCGTTTAGCTCTGGTGTTTGGCTTGATGTGTGAGTGCATGCGCTTGTGTGTCTCAGGAAGGAGGAGTTGGGGGAGGCTATCAGTACTGCTAGTGTTGCAGAGGCATCAATACACTCTTGACAGGCCATTTTCCTATGCCTATTCCCAGCCCTGGCTTGTTGCTGGGGCAACTACCGCCATTTTACCTTCCCTGTCTGCACCTCTGGAAGAGTTTAACAGCAGTCCATGTTCCGTAATCTCTCCCAGCCAACTTTTTAACTAACCTAGCGTCCATGTTTATTTCTGATCCACTAACATTCAGCATTCTGTGTGTAAAAATGGAGTCCGCATTATCTGTAATTTTTACAGCCAATGTTTCCATGTGCCACCTCAAGGACTGACAAAGAAAACTGCAGGGTGTTTCATTCTTCTCCCAAGGTCGCGGGATGACTGTTCAATAACACCACTGCCCTTAAACACGATGCTCATTTCACCACAGGAGCTGTTCTTTGTTTTCTGAGGAATGACCCTAGACTCACAGTTCAAGCTACAGACTAACTTCCTCCTGGATCAACACAGAAGCAACAGCACTGACTACACTTGAACTCCACCAATACAACACAACAACTTTGACAGTAGAGACCATCAGACAGTTCCCTCACCTGTCCATGAGGCTGCATGGTGCTGTAGGGCATGTTCTGGTTCAACACTTTCTGCTTCATCAGCAGCATCCTCTTCTGCTCCTCACTCAGGTGGGCTGTCTGTCCTGGGATCGGGCCCTGGGTTTGCCCTGGCCCCACCCCCTGGCCCCCGCCTCCTCCACCACCCATGTAGGGAGGAATCATGGGGTTCTTAACCTGATTATTCAGTCCCATAGGTGGGGTTACCCTCTGGCCTATGTGATCCACCCCGCTGCCACTGAAGTGACTCAGTGGTTTGGTGTTGTTATAGGACAACATGGCTGCCGTTTGCTGCTGCTGTTGCTGCTGCTGTTTGGGCAGGGGATTCTGGTTGATGCTGTTTGGCGGCTGCTGGCCCATCATAACCATGTGGTTGTGAGGGAGGTAGTTGTTCATGGGGGCTTTGGGCCCATTGTTGGGGGCCATCCCAGCCACTAGAGGGCCCTGTGGTGTGTTAAAGGCTTGTGGTGGGTACATCATGGGACTGTTAGGTTTTTCCTGGTTAAAGGGACCGGAGTTATACGGACTGGTTGGAGCGCCAGCAGGGGACCAATTAGCTGCTTGTTGCTGTTGTTGCTTCTGCTGCAGCAGTTTAGCACGTTGCTGAGCCATTGCTTTTAGCTGCTCTGCTGGAGAAAGCTCAGGCGTCAGTGGCCCTACAGGCTGACCTCCAGGGGCAATGCCAGGTGCTCCGGATCCTGTCCCTGCCTGACTGACACCTGGGCCTGGGTTCATCATGTATCCATTCCCAGGCCTAGAGACTGTTTGTGTCTGAGCCTGGGTTGGGGTCTGTGGAGAGCGAGCCACGCAGTTGTGCAGTGGTGAACCTGATGCCATGGCAACGGCTGGAGATTGCTGCAAAGGTTGCTGAGGAGGCGTTCCATTGGCAGTGGTGGCAAACTGAGGGCCAGACGATGATGGTCGCACCTGAGGGGAGGAATCCAAACATAAAAACAATCCCATGAGGCTCATGTACTGAACATGAATAACGAATACAACAACATGAGGCAATTAGCTTAGCTTAGCATCAAGACTGGAAACAGGGGAAACAGTTAGCTGGCCCTGGCCAAAGTTCAAACATAACACGCCTTTAACACTTTCAAAATAAGTTGTGACATGCTTATTTTATTTGTACAGTATTTTTACATCTCTGTGCAATAAACCAATGAGATATAGCAGCACTGGATATGATTTTTGGTGTATTTCTGAACTCTGGTGAGAGCCTCTCGTTTCAGAGCAAGCTAATCACCTCCCAGTTCAGCTCCATAATAACAGCACAGACATGATGGCTGATAATTTCACCATACTCTAAGAAAAAGGTGAGTTTCTGAAATGTTATACAATTCCTTCAAAGTACTCAATGTAAACACAGCAGTTATTGCACCAAATCTGATTTTGTAATGCATCAGAAACCAAAACTCTCATTCTTACATTACTGACTGAAGAGTCGGTGGCATTTGTCAAATGAAACAATTTTAGATGAATTGTTTAGTTAGGTCTAGCTGGACTAATTTGGAATTGATGAGTCATACTGGTTGACAAAAAAAAATCTATTTGACTTTCCATTCAGAGTAAAAAGACTAGGACACATACCCATTACAGAAATACTGCATATTTCCAGGTGAAGTCCTGAAATGTCCACAAAGACCTGCTCATAACTTCATAAAATCTTGCTGGAAGCCATATGTCTCAGACTAAAACAACTAAGAACTAGCATATAAACTTTATTACAACCCCAACATACCATGTAAGCATTTTATGTTTGCTTCTATCTTGTCATTAGATTAGATTAAATTCAACTTTATTGTCATTACCCATGTAGAAGTGCAAGGCAATGATCCTACATAGTTTTATGAATTGCTGCTGGACTCTGGTGTTGACAGATCTATTGTGACAGTTACACCTAAAAGCAAACAGATCTAATCTGGTTTAAATTGGTACTCATGAGTTACAAGCTGACAAAAGTACTGTAATTCTACCTTAGGAGAAAACATCAGACAAATATAAATATCAAATCACATAAGCTGGTCACAACACAGGGCACGGGTAGGGGTTAACAGGGCTATAACAGATAATGTCGACCCTCTTAGCACTGACCTGTGGTGAGCCCATGGGAACCCGTGGGCCTCCCTGTGGAGGCTGAGGAGGAGGGGGCAGTGCTGCTGCTGTCGGTGCGCCCCCTCCAGGTGTCGTCGTATTCCCAGCTGTTTCCTGTGGGCCCGGTGTCTGATTGTTAGCTGGCCTGCCAAAATCTGCTTCTTTCTTGTCCTCAAAGTCCTCATTGAAGAGGTCGTGCATATCGTCCTCTGGCACAGTGTTAGCCAGCTCATCGATCAGCTCCTGCCACTCCTGATCATTGAGGTTGATGTCAGAGAACAGTTTGTTCTGATTGGACAGAGACTGGGGATCGGAGGACTCCATCCCAGCTCCATCATCCAATGGCTCCTGTTTCAGGTCTTTGAGGAGGCCAAAGCTGTCCTCCAAGTCCAGTGAGCCATTAAGCTTCATGTCAGGGAGATGGCTGCCATTCTTCCCCAGCTCATCTGATGCCTGACCTATGTGGTTGCCGTTGCTGTTGGTAGTGTTGTTTCCAGTGGAAGTGTTGGGCCCACCGAGCAAAGGCTTAATGTCTATTTGGTGATGCAGTGGAGAAATGGGTGGTACGTTGTTGTTATTGTTGTTGTTGGGCAGAGCAGTCAGTGTGTCCAAACTACCGGAGCCCTCCTTCCGTACCCGTTTGGTAGTTGGTGAGTAGCTGCCTCCGTCACAGATGCCATTCTGGTCTCCATTGAGGGGTGATCGTGCACTATCCAGTTTCCTTTTTACAGTCTCCTGGAGCTGAAACAAAGAAGAAACAGAAAACAGATTATGGCTGGAGGGCACCAAAGATGGGACATGTTCGCAATATGATAACTTTTCTGTGGTCCTCAGGGTGCTAACGATGGAAACCACACAAGATACCAAATCAATAAGGCAACAGACCGCTTCCTCTCTACACACATCAAGAACTGCCATGAGAAGGCAAGAGGTGTGCTAGAAATCAAAATATCACCAAGACAAATGTTCTTTCAGTACAGAGTCGATCTGACAGAAATAATGATCACATTACTAAGTTCTACCATGAAGCCTATCCTGTACACAATACACACATACATGTGTGCAGAACCACACATTTCCTTTAACATTAAGTAGAAGAGCAGGCAAAGCAATGAGAAGACTGGCAGCCCTCTCAATGAGTAATCCAGCAGGCTAGACTTGAGGTTTTTCTGCAGGTTTTTCTGAGGAGGGAAGGAAAGACCAGAAACATCTCATATGGTGTTCTCTCCAAAATCAGCATCAGCCATTGGGCAGCTGAGCTGTGCCATCTAAGTCTCCGGAACAGTCTTAGCCTTACTGTATCACACAGGCCACTAAACTTCACAGTTTCACTGCCTCTGCCATGGTGCAGGCAAGATAAGGACAGGGTACTAATGAACACTGGCTGGTGGCTCGGATCACCACTATCATAGACCTGGGTGTGAGAGGACAGGAGGAATGGAGGGGACAGCAAACAGAAATTGAGACATATCAAAAGTGGCAGGAGTCAAAGTAGAGGGCAGAAACTGGGGAAAGGGGCAAAGTGCAACCAAACCTACGAGAGAAATCAAAAATTCTCACCATTTTGGCCTTTTTTCTACACTGAGCAGGTGTTTTCCATCACCAAAGAATGTGCTTTTCAAAAACACTCCAAGTGTTCTCGCACTTCAGGGATCTCACATTGTAGAACTGACGAGGAAACTAACACAACTGTCAGCAAGGGACTAGCTTTACAGTTTTACACTTTTCAGTGTACGATGCACGGCCAGTGGTTCAGTGCAGTGGTGATATTTTTATCAATGCTTGGCTGAAGGTATGATGGCAGGAAAATGTTCTACTCCTTAGCAATGTGCTACCCTGTGTCCTAACTTCTGGTGGGCCCCCTGTTCTGGTATCATGGTATTAATTACACTCAGGAAATAAGACATGAATTCCTTTGAAACACTGGCTAGTCAATGCAAGACATTTACCTGCATTAGGGAGGACATGGCCCAAAATCTGGGTGAGGCAGCAATAAACCTCTGGGTGCACCACGGGAGAACAGAGAAAGCTGGGGACTCCATGTATGTATCAAAAGTTGGCACACTGTAGTGTTTGCCTGGATGAGGATAGCAAGGAAACTGGCAGCTATGCAAACTCAGGTAAACAATGGGAGCTGGCAACAACTAAATCATGATGAAAAAGTGCAGAAAAATCGAGTTTTCTGTGCAATTTAATAAACTCTCAATCTCAATTTTGCTCCTAACTCACATTAATTTCAAACCCTAATGAAGTTGGCAGAGAAATAGAAGATGCTATGAAAATGACGGATGGGAAGCAGGGACCTCATTTATGAAAGGTTCCCAGGGTAGAGATTTTGTGCTCCAATACAATTCTAAGGCAAAGTTTAGGATTCAAACAAAAAGATCAAAATCAGAGGTAAAGGTTCACATTAAATTCATTCTACAAAGACAGGATGCTACAGTGTTATTTCATTCTATTTTTACTCTTAAGAATATGTCATGGTATAATAAGGCTGCTCAACTGCAGTTAAACTGAATAATTAACTTTATGCGATTTCTCACTCATACAAAACCATTTTAAATATCTGAAAGTCACTTGAATTCCTAAACTACACTAAGTGAAATTTAATAATGCAGTTTAATATAGATGTCAATTTTCAAATGCTGACACTGACACAAACCTTAAACCTCCCACCTAAATCATTCCTTTCAGTCAATCCACACAAACAAATACAAATGCATAGATAAATAACTGTGCATTGATAAGAGCTATTTACAAGGTACGGCACTGATCCACATTTCAAATGGTCTTCTGTTAAAATAAACAATAAAGAGCTCAGAAGCAGAGAAATATTTTTTTTAAGTCAACACTATCAGCTTTCACATGTGAGAGAGTGAAACACACACACACACACACACACACACACACACACACACACACACACACACACGAAGCACTGATACATGTACGTGTGCAAACGCACACTTAGGTCTTTGTTATTCAGATGGAACAAAAGACAAAATATATTCAGATTGTATTCTGACCCTGAGGTGGACCCACTCAAGCTGGCAGACACACACACACACACACACCACAACATAAAGCACACAAATTGTCTTTTTTTGTTTGTTTGTTTTTTGGACTTTCTTGATTTACTGGTGTGTCAATGTGTGTGTTGTGCTGGCTTTCCCTCTCTTCTCCACTATCACTGATGGTCAGCTTAATTATCTTTATGGCATGATAGACATTATTAGTATTGACAGCCAAAGCTACAATGTGTGTGTGTGTGTGTGTTAGGCTTGAACTCTCATGCTGGTGTAGCCATTAGAGGAACAACTGAGAAAACCAGAGGAAAACACACATCTCCACCATCACCAAACATCTTTGTCGACTCTGCCGTTTGTGTGTGTGGTCTTGCAATCAATGGATTTAAATAATTCAGGTCTGTTGAATGCAGGGTTTGTGTGTGTGTGTGTGTGTGTGTGTGTGTGTGTGTGTGTGCGCATGCATGTGTGTGTTACAGGCTTTCCCTAAATGCTAGTGACTCATGTTGATAATAACAGACTCAGTTTTTAAAGCCCAACTATACAAAATCCCATAATTATCCCAGTGGTGTGAACTATAGCATTCTCTCACACAGACACATGCACGTGTGCGCGCATGCAGCAGGTTTTTACATACACACCCACCTATAAAAATCATTACCAATTTAACCTTCTTGATAAGATGCTGAATACAGAGACAGAAACAAAGAAACAGAAGACTCTGCTCAGACGGAGTGTGGTTCAGTCTGCTCAGGACTGTATGAGTCAGCACGCCACAGCCTGAGGGAACGTGACAGAATGAATGACAAAATGGTGAGCCAGTATAAAATACTTTATACCGACTGTGGTTAATTAATCATTTGTTTCTTTTTGTGCAATCAGCAACCTAATTACACCTCTGAATTACACTAATATACCTGTCAGGCAGTGCAAACAGAACCTGACAATATTATTATTCATTTGACAGCAATAAAATACCTTAGAAGTGAAGTGAAAAGAGAGGAGTGAGTGTTTGCATGTGAGCCAGGAGAAGATATGGAGAGTCAGGGACAAAGAATTCTGAAGTGGTTTAATCAAGCTGGAGTGCTTAGCACGAGCAGAGGGAAAACGAGCATTGCAGTAAAAAAAAAGAAAAAAAAGGACAAGAGGACGCAAAAGAGCAAAGACAGTAGAGAGAGAAAGAGGAAGAGAGTGCTGCTCGTCTCTCTATGTGTTCTTTGACATAAACACCTGCTGACTGCTCCTCTGTCTGCTCCCACAACACGCACAACACAGAGTGAGAATGGCAAAGATGCAGAGAGACAAAGGTAAGAGAGAGACACGCACACACAAGGGAGGAACGAGGGATTTATTTGTCAGGCAGATGGTCTTTTTCCTTTGAGTGGAGGAGCTACAAGAACATGAAGATGAAGAGGAGGAGAGAGGGTGAAGGAGAGAAGAGGCAGGGGGAGGGAGGAGGAGGAGATAGGTTGCTTGATGGAAAGGCGTAGCACGCCAAATGACAGCGGGGAGCAAACGATGAAGAGGGTGATCAGAGAGGGAGAGGGAGGCAGGGACGAGAGACAGAGATGGAACCACTAAGGTGCTGTTGTTATAGCAACCTGCTGCTCTGGTGCTTTGCGCGCTGCATCCTCCTCCTTCCTCCACCAACACTCGCTCACTCACTCCCTCTTCACCACCGTGCCTGCTCTCCCTCTCTCTTCCTTCCTCATCTACTTCTCTGCCTCCTCTCCTTCGTTGCCTCCGTCCTTTTAAAGGTTGAGCATCATATCGAACTCCAACCAAAGCATTAAAAGAATATGTCTATGTCCAGACAGTTGCATAATGTGTTTTTTTTTTAAATGTCATCATGTAAATTCGATGGTATCTAGCAGACACGCCTGTCAATACAAACACAGAGGTCAACAACAAAAACCTTTTGTCTATAGGATTATGCATAGCTGTAAAAACACAGCACAAACAAATTGTGATCCTGCTACTATTAATCACTGAGGATGATGTAAACCTAATCAAAAGCCACACAGCAGCCACATCGTCTGTGATAATAATTGTAACATATTTAATCCATGCCATGTGACGGCTCCTCTCACCCTCCTTTCCTATTCTGTTTTACCTTGAACCATCCCTTCTCCTTCACTCCTGCCACATCATTTTCTTACTCTGTTCTGACTGTAAGGGACAGTTTCTACCAGTAATAATAAGAAATGTTCTAACAACACACACAAAACACAAACTCGGTGGCTGATGACTACTGTACAAGAAAGAGTACAGTAGTTTACCACACATTCAAACACAGCAGGCATACAGTACATGGACCATACCAAACACTCAGTCCAATGTTCTCATTTGACAGTTGCCCTTTGTGCATCTATTATGTTTTACATATTAATCCCGAAGACATCAAAGGTATGAAATAACCCATATGAAACTATGAGGTAAGCAAAAAAGGATTAAACAATGCAAACTAGGTTTCATATTTTAAATTTGTCAAAGAAACCAGTGGTTGCCTTAATGACAGCTTTGCACAATGGTAGCTACATCTTGACCAGTCTCATGAGGTGGTCACCTGGAATGGTTCCCAGTCAGACATTAACTGCTGGGATTTCGGGCCTTCTTAATGCAGCTGATGCTGGTTTTGTTGGAATACAGCAACACAGCTACTATAATCCATATTAATGCTAGCAGTGTTGTGCATGAACACGCTAAATGAGCGTT